CCACTTCCAGTGACCCTGCAGGATACAGAATCATCATACTGTTAAAAATGAGAAAAAATAGATTTAAAAATCGACTTAAATATGCTGGCATAGACCTAATTAAGAAAGTAAAATACCTAGATATAAAAATTTTGAAAACCAAAGAAAGAAATTAAAAACCAGTCCCCCAGAAGAATGACATCTCACACTGAGGGACTTGCTCTGAGGACGATTGAGTGATGCTCAGAGAATTGTGCCTCCTGGCAGCTACATATTGTCTACTGCTCTCTGAAATTAACATTAACACGGACTATATGCTTTTCTTCAACATGCATGGCATTCCCTTAATGAGGTCCATCCTCTTAGGATATTTTACAGTAGTAGTCACAAGCCATGAGAGTGAAATCATCTTTGCCATAATTCCTAAAGGAGGTATCAGAAGGAGCCAGATAAATGGCCTCAGATGAGAATAGGGGAGTCTAGAATAAATTGCTGAGTTCTTGGGGGAAGAGGTGGTTAATCTTTCCCCTAGAGATTCAAAATACAGTCAGGAATAAATTAATCCAAGAAGCTGAAATCTCTCAACAGAAAAGACATTTAAAAACTGATATAAGCAAAACAACCAACCAACAAAACACTAATGAAGACACTAGAATGGAAGGACTTCCCATGTTCACAGATCAAAGAGTTAGTGTTGTGTTAATGGCTATATTTCCTGAAGTTATCAATGTAGGTGGTACCATTGATGAAGCCTAAGATGCAGAAGCACAGCCTGCTTTCCTTGGGCATAGTTCTACTTTACCTGTCATCTGGATACAATAACTTTGACCACACCTTCACTCAGAAGCACTGTCAGACTCCTATCTGAGGCCATAAAGCCATTTGGAACAGGCCCAGTTGCTTACACTTCTTAGAAATGGGCTGCCTGTGTTATCAGAAAGTGTGTAATACAGTGGTATTGGCTTTTCTGACCTGTACTTGGTTGTTTTTAATCTTTTCTCTTTACCCTTTGGGGTACCCGCCACTCAGCGACTAGAAAATCATACTGAGACTTACTCTTTCTTATGACCCAGCCTTAGTTTGTCTTATTTCTAGCCAACTTCTCTTAACTTAAATGATCTCATCTACATTTTGCCTCTGGGCTTTTATCTTTCTCTAGTCTATGTACTTTTTTCCTTCTTACTCTGTGGCTATGTGGCTGGCTCCTGGTCTCTTCTCTTGTTCTTCTTTTGGCACTCCCCCTCTTCTCTTTTTCTCTTATATATATATATTCTCTTTCCCTGACAGCCCATCCTATCCTTTCTGCTGCCTAGCTATTGGCTGTTCAGCTCTTTATTAGACCGGGTGTTTTAGACAGACAAAGTAATATAGCTTCACAGAATTAAACAAATGCAGCATAAAGAATGCAACACATCTTTGCAACATTGAACTATCAGCGAACACAACGTGGAGTCAGACCAGATAGATAACAGTTTATTAAGAAACAGTACTCATGCAGATCTGCATGGCCAGGTGGCAGGGAGTGAGAGAAAGGCTCTTGTTCGAGCCCCTGAACTACTTAAAACTTTCCCATGACACTCTGACCACTCCCAAATGGACGTGGTCAGGTAACCTGTGTCCAGCCCCAAGTGGGCGTGGTTAGCATTACTTATGAACATGCCCAAACTGGTGTGGTCAGTGGTTCCTTTAACCATGCTTTCTCTCTACAATTCCCCTTTTAGTCTAAAGAGAAATAAAACTTAACAGTGTAAATTATCTATAATTAACAATCATAAAGATGAATTTACAAGAAGATATAATAATCTACTAATATCACATCCTAACTATGTCTATTCCAACTAAACCCTAAAGCCATCTGAAAGAGATGTCCAAGTCTGAACACCTCCTTCCAATCCAACCCTAAACAATAGGAAACTAGCTCTAACTAGGTGTACATTATCCTTAGTGACAACAATGGGGAAAGGGGGTGTAGTATTCTCCAAGTTACTTAGTATTCTCCAAGTTACTTCCTGGGATAACGACAGCCTCGTGGGGTCCTGTAGGAAGAAAATGCTATTGTAGTGAGAGTCTTGAGTGGATTATATCCAGTCCAGTTTGGTGGGAGCTGCTTTATTGAAGGTCTAGGTTGAAGTCCTTATCTTGATTGAAGTTCTTGTGTAGATTGGAGTCAGTATCCAATGCTCTGGCTGGAGTGTCAATTCAAATAAATCAAGTTGGATCCAGTGGACTTGATGAGGTGTGGCTCATTTTCTTTCCGGAGTGTTTAGGGATTGCTGTCCTTGATTCCCTTGAGATCTTTTAGTTGTATAGGTTCCCATTGATATGCCATGTGACCATTTGGATGCTTTTTGGATGGCGGTTTTTCTGTCATAGTTGCTGGGAACACCAGTGGTGTATGCATAACAACCTTAGGAAAATTTTCTTGATATCTGACTGGAGTAGGCAAAGTGGATTGGAAGGAATCCGATTCTGTGTTGTCCAAGGCTTGTAGCTTGGCGACCATTGTCTCATGAAGAGACTGAATCTCAGGAATCATGTGAGATTCCAAGAATTTCATAGAAACGTTAACTTTCCTTATTTCTCCATCTACATGTGCTTCTAGACCTTCTAGCATTTTCATCCTTAGATAGTATCTGAATGGCATGTAAATTGCCTTCTAAATATCCAATCCTAGACTCCAGCTTTTGGTTTGTTGCAGTGGATACATCAGACATGGAGCGCATTGTCTGTGCCAGGTTGCCAATCCTGTCCTGGTTATTAGTTATCTTTGCATCTAAAGTATCAGACACAAAACAAATTTTGGTTTTTATTTGGCCATGGATTTGTTCTACCTGTATTTGTAACGTAATATGGCCAGACTTAGGATTTTCCATTTATTTACATAAATGTTTTATATCTTGCATTTTAGATACCAAGTTTTCCTGGCTGGCTTTTATCTCCTGCATCCAAGTTGCTAAGCTGTCCCTTTTCCTGTTTCTCAGGCCCCTGGTTAGAGATATCACATGGATCATAAGACTGACTGCTAATATGCTATATAGGCATGCAACTGGCAAATAAGCCTCCTCTAACATTGAATTCACATTCATGTAAGAAGCAAGAATTGTTGGCAATGTCAGATTTTCTGCCATGATTGATTTTTACCTGTTGGCTTCCACTCCAGATACAATAACTGTGTTTGACCAGAAGGTGGCGCAGGTTGCCTGTTGTAGCACAGTGTGCAGCTGCTGATGGTTTGAGTAGAATCTTTAAAATATCTGAAAGCCTTTCGGATCGAGTTAAGAACAGATGGAAAAGGGAAGAGGTTTTGGGCAGTGGCAACGGTGAGCAGGGTTTAGGAAAAGGTACTGGGCGGAAACCGCGCTTGGGCTGATCTGGCACGGCGGCAGCGACTGACACCATTTATCAGAGAACACAATGTGGAGTCAGATCAGATAGACAACAGATAGTTTATTAAGAAATAGTACTCACGCAGATCCATTTGGCCAGGCGGCAGGGAGCGAGATGAAGGCTCTCATGCGCGCCCCTGAACTACTTAAACCTTTCCCAAGTCACTCTGACCACGCCTACCTGTGTCCAGCCCCAAACTGGCATGGTCAGCGCTACCTCTAACGATGCTTTCTCTCTCCATTGAACAAATGTTCCACAGCATAAACAAATTCAACACATCTTCAATTAATATTCCACAACACTGACCTCTTCCCACCTCCACATCTAATGCTTTGGAATAGCTTCTGATGAATTTTAAACACTAGTTTGAACTACTTTACTTTGAATTTCAATTTTAGAGAAGCGTGTTACTGTTCTGAGCTTATATAAAAGGGGTACCGACTAATATGCTATATATACCGACTGGCAGAGGGACGAGGCATGCAAGGTACGAGAGGCAGTTGAGACTGGACTTGGGCCCATGCTATTGGGAGCTGGAGCAGGTAAATTCACTTTCTCTTTTTGTTTTTTATTTGCTTGTTTGTTTTTCTCAAGTACGTAAGTTATGATTTTTGATTCTAAGAGGCAGCTGAAGAAAGGACGAAGACAGGTTTGTCATTTACTATTGTTCAGGGCCCACGACTGGATTTTATTTTGGACGGAAGTTCAGTTTTACCCATAATGACAAATGCAAAGTGGCACTGTTCTGGGAGCTCCAAGTCAGGGAGGCAATGGCAGTGGGACAAGCTTCCCTGCTTGTTTTCCACAGATCCCTGTTGTATCTCTGGTTCATAAAGCAAAGACGTCTTTGCAGAGGAGTTTATAGGCAAACATAACATGTGTCTGAAGTTACAATGTTTGAGGGGTGTTTTCCCCCAAGGTGACTGATTGGCTCACTGAGATGAACTGTTAAGAAAGGGAAGAAACAGTCTGTGTTTTTACTTGTACATTGTTTGGTGCAGTTTGGAATCTCACGTCTCCCCACAGGGCTAACGATGTGACCCAAGTACTATTATTTTGAGCAAAACTTAAGGAACAGTGTGGATTAAAATAATCTAAAAATAGATCTACAAAGTAGCTGTGCTTTACCAAGAAGTAGTAGCTTGGTCTCTAACCCTGAAAGCATGTCTTGTTCTTTTTCTTTACCCATCTCTCCCCGCCCCCTTGTTACCTGCTGAGATCTGCCCTCTGTCTCCCCTGTTGCTTTTTTTTTTCTTTTGAATTCAAATAAAATTGTCCTCAACTTTCCTTTTAAGCCTGTTTTTACTTCTTTTATATTTGGGATTTAAGAACCCTCAAAAGAGACCCTGTGCTCCTTGGTCAACCTATTGCCAATGAAATAAATTCTATAATTAGTCCTCAAATAGTATGCGAGGTTTGCCCTCAAAAAGTGTCTATTGCTAAATCAGGTAAAGTATCACCCTAGTTAAAAAAGGAATAAAATAAAGGGTGCTTGGAATAATTACAAAAGATTTCAAAATTCTATTTCTGCAACTATGCGCAACTTCTGGGAAATTAGTTTAGTGACATCCAAGCCTTCCATTGGGGCAACACCCTTTAACTGAATAGTCTGAATTTGTATAGTTTCAGTTTCCAGTTTCAGTTTGGGGGAATCCTGTTAGCGTTTCCTACACTTGCATTTCATATGCAAGTTCTCTGCCAGAGAGCTGGGAGGAGAAAGGAAATTCCCAGAGCTGGTCACTATTAGAAACAAGCACAGCTAAATAAGGAAACAACAGGTTTGCGCTCTTGCAAAGTCCTCTTGAAAGAAGCTCTTACCAGCTCTTGATTCGGCTTTTGTTAAGGTAAGATCAGACATGGCTGGGTAGAGACTTTTATGGTTTAGCTTTTTAAATGTTCTATACGGGACTGGATGCTCTTAGCCTGGGATTCTGGGTCAGTCCTACTGAAGACTAAATTGGAGTGTTACCATACAAAGAATTATTAATCTGGCATCCAGAGTGTTTATCAGTGTCACTTGCTGACTGACAGTAAGAGAGCAGCCTGGGTGGGGGCTAAACTGAAAGCTAGGAATACCTTCCAGCTGTTCTTGCTTCCATCTCTCTGTTATAACTTCTTGGCATCCCTTATCATGGCTGAATTTTTCTTTGTTAAAGCCTGATGCAGCCCTCTCAGTCTGTGGCCTGGGGCTTTCTAGAACAGCAGGCCATTAATTGTCCCATTGGCACGAGGGAAGAGAAAAGCATGAGTTGCAATGTAAATAGCTAAGTTGCTGAAGACAAAACAAAACTGAAAGAAAAATAGAATGTGAAACTCCAAGGCATACAGAGAAAATGCTTTCTGAAAACAGCAGTGGGCTTTTAGCTTTGAGCAGTCTTGTCTCCTGACGGTCCCATGTTTGTTTTTCCTTCACAGTCACACATTTTTTAACCCCTTCTGTGTTGGATTCTGTCTTGGATACAATGTTGTCTCTATTCTTATTCATTGATTAACTCAGAAATTGTCCACCTGGACCACTTAGTATGATCTGACTATGTTTTGACTTCTTGCTCTGTCACATGCCTTATGCATGTCATATTTAAATATTTCCATTAGCTGTTAAATGAGTACTTTTATCCCTCTTTTTTCAAACTCAGGGCGGAAGCAATACAAAATAAGAAAAAAGCAAATAAGAATAAAAATGCAAAACCTGAGCTACAACCATAGTTACAAAGATGTGTTTTCTTCCAGAAGTTTGTCCCTAGAACTTCTCAGCATTTTCTCTCAGATTTCTTGGCACTTTTCTTCTCCAGTCCCCGGTGTACACACACACACACACACACACACACACACACACACACCCACACACACAGACACCGCTGTGAAGCTTTCTCTCTTCCCTTAAAAAAGTAACTGTTTTATTTATGTGTTTGTGCCTGAGTATATTTATCTACATCAAATGGTAGTGAGAAGAGCATCAAGTTCCATTGGACTGGGGTTACAGGTAGTTGTGAGTCACCTGATGTAGTTTGAGCCAACCCAGGTCTTCTGCAAGGTGCTCTTAACCACTGAGCCATCTCTCCATCCCAGACCTCTACTGATGTAAGTGCTTGTAGTAAGTATGCTGAAAGAGTTGAGTGACATCATAATTCTAACCAGTTGCAAGGCTGAGACTGGAAATCAAGTCTAACTTACAACAAAGCCAAAATGTGATTCTAAAAAATATTTTAAATATTATATTTATTTTATGTGTATGTGTTTTTTTTGTTACCTGCATGTATATCTGTGCAGCATATATGTGCCTGGTGCCCATTGAAGTCAGATGAAAGCATCAGCTTCCTTAGAACTGGAGTTACAGACAGTTGTGAGCCAGCATGTAGGTTCCTGGAATCAAACCTCGGTCTTCTGGAAGAACAGTCGGTGCACTTAACAGCTGAGCCATCTCTCTAGTCCCCTAAACCTTGTGGAATTCTAACAAATTACAGAGAATGTTTTCCTGAGTCATCTGCTAAGCTATGCAAAGCAGAGTAATGAAATTTGGATTGTGGCTGGAGAACATTAAATATGCAATGATATCAGAGATTTGGCTCTAGTAAAAAACACTAAGGATTCTTTCTATCCAGATAACATTTGGTGCTAACATGTAAAATGCTTTGATTACTAGAGACACACAGTATGAATGTTCTTTATAAAGGCTGGAAATTCACTCAAATTAGTTTCTTTTCCCATTATTAACACCAAAAAACCCAAGTGTCTCTAAACCTCTCCATCACTTGTAGATGTGACCTTTATGGTCCTAGCTTACTGTGTGTAGATCATCATTGAAAGCTTCCTACATCTATATAATCTGCAAAAAATCACTGTAATCCCTGCTGTGAATAAACAAGGTAACCAGAATTCTACTGATGCAGGGTAGCACTATCACACCAGAAATGGTCAAAATGGACAAGAACTTGGCATGAGATTCTCAGTTCACTGAGACAGGGCTGCTTTCCGGCATGGCCTTGCACTAGACACTTCCTAATGTCTGGGCCTTGATGCGGCAACATCTGTGATGAGTCTTCCAGTGCCTGATCCCATAAAAACCGTTTCTGTTTCAATTTCTTGGTCCCAGGCATGATGTATGCTGCCCTGGTTCTGAACAAGAGGAGAAAATGTGTCTTTATGATCATTAAACACAACAACAAAAATTCCCCATACTTTTTATGACTACTGGTGCAACCAATTTAGATCTTTTCTTGTTAATATTTTGTAATGAAAAATGAACTCAATGAAGATCATGGCTTTTGAACTTCTCCATTACATAGTCAGTACTAAAATGGAAGATAGCTGTTCCCCTGATAAGTGAAGCCAAAAAGCATGCCTTACCCTTACCATCCCGCTTAACCTGTTTTATTAGACAATTGTCAGGGTACAGGCAGTGATGTCTTTTCAATCATTTTGCCAATTACAAAATGATCATGTTTTGAAGTTTGGGACTAATAAAGGACATTCATAACCATGTAAAGATATGGTGTTTTATTTTAAAGTACAGCTTTAATAAGTCAACATGTAATTTCTTTGAAAATGATATATGTTAGAGTTATGGCTTGGTGGCAATGAAGTAGTACAGTTTGGTCACAAAGCTGAGTAAGAAAGAAGCAACAAGTGTAGTGACAGGTGACAGTCAATCAATCCAAGGACACCAGCAGATGTTAGCCAGGAAACATTAGCAAGCCAGAAGTTAATGGGATGAGCTAGGCTCAAACTGTCAGTAGGCAGGCTAAAGATAGGGGTTTCCCGTGTCTATCAAGCACTTAAGAGGCAGCAGGATATGCTATTATAAGTCTGTGAAGAGGCAGAAACTATTGTACTTTGCTGTTTATTTTTAGCTTTTAGTTTTCAGATTCTCAGAAACTCAGGCAGTACTAACAGGTAATTTGTTCCAGGATTCAGCAGGTAAAATGTCTTTCTTTAAACACTAGAAGTTTCAGGTAATCCCATTTCTTTCCCCTGCAGACAAAGTAATATCTTAGACATGGCTCCAGAGACCTACATGCCAGAACCCATGTGCCTCATTGGGAACAATGGGGAACAGCTAGTGGCCAACCACGAAGCCCTGAGGATTCTGTCTGCCATCACACAGCCGATGGTGGTGGTGGCAATCGTAGGCCTTTACCGTACAGGCAAATCCTACTTGATGAACAAGCTAGCCGGCAAGGAGAAAGGTAAACAACTCCAGCAAGGCTTGCTAAGTCACCTCTATCCATCCACACTGTGAGCATCCAGCTCAGAGTGTGAGGAGAGAAAGTTGGGGCTCCATCTGTGTACTGAAGGTAGTGTTTGGGCCACAGCTGCTGTTTGCATCTTCTGGTAGATAAAGGGAAGCTCGCTATCTGTGACTTAGCACGTGATCATTTCTCAACATCGTCCCAGAAAAAGCAAAATATATTTCCTCTATAAGAAATAAGACATCAATGAAATGAATTCAATGAAGTAAATTCCAACTATTAAGTGTTTAGAAGCATGAAATTGTGTTTGTAAAAAGAACACCAGATCCCAACTTTAAGCCACTAATATTACTTGCCCGTTTAGATCATCACTTGTCCTTTCTACTGTCTCATCATTTTGTTCCCCTTACAGCCTAGCTTCAATTCTCCAGGGAATTCCTGAATTCCAGATCTCTCTTCCCATCAATATCACTCACTTTGCTTTCCAGGCTTTTCTGTTGGATCCACGGTGCAGTCTCACACCAAGGGCATCTGGATGTGGTGTGTCCCTCATCCCCAGAAGTCAGACCACACCCTAGTTCTGCTTGACACAGAGGGCCTGGGAGATGTGGAAAAGGTAAGGAGAGAGGATTCGGTTTGGATTGGATTAATCAACTTTATCTCCCTGTGTCTTTAAATACTCTTAGTACAGGAATTTCCCTTGTCCCCACCCATACATGGTATTTCCAGTTGACCTGAGTGTACTTTTCTTCCCTTTATTCTTAATGGTCAGAGCTTGGATACATGGAGTGAGAAAATCTCTTTATAAGGTAGAATGAGCACTGAGAGCCATCTAGTGATGGTGACCTAAGTAAGTGCTTCCTAAGTATTGAAACACAGTGGGATGAAAATCACTGTAACCAACCTGTCCTGCCGAGCACTTGTGCTAATAGTTGGCTACTACTTAGATCAGGTTGCCTAAATCATAACTGTAGCACCTCTAGTTCCATGGTTTTGACAAAAAAGAAGTGTCTGCACGTGTTTTTCCATTTGTCTCTTCTGATTCATTATGGGAACAGTGGCCGCACCGGCACTGTCTAATGGCCTTCTAGTAAGCATTAGCATACCACTCACCATAAATAAAGCATTTGAGTCTGCAGCACTTCCCTTTCCCCACAATTTCCCCATCATCATTGACTTAAAGCTAGAGACCCTTTTGGACTTGAGGAGATGTGCCTTTTGTGAATCAACATGGGCTGGTTCTTGGACATAGATAGACCTTTCTCTTGAAGGTCAATTGTGAAAAAGCTTTTGTTTGGTTTTTCTTCATTTAAATTTTTTTGATTGGTCAAGATTCACTGATGACAAACCATAATTTGGACTTGATTTACTCAATCTACAGCATTGTCTTGGAGATAGAGAAGATTGCTAGTGAGACCAGTTTAAGGGTAGTAATAAGTAGTACAGATATATGTACCATGCACATAAGGCAATTTTATTTTGCCCCTGTAAAACTTCAATTTTAAATATTCTGGTTGCCCCACTAGCTTTATTCGTTTTGAAACTATCTAAGAGTCATCAGACTAGTGAGTTAGCAATGGAATGAATCAGTATAAAATTACCAGTGAGAAAAGCATGCAAAATGCATGCTTGTAAATTGTTTGTTTTGTTTAATGTCTGTATATCAACATTTTATTTTTGGTAATACCCAAGAATGCCCAGAGACATACTCAAATTTGTTCTGATTTCTAGATTGATGAAAAGAGTGATACTCAGATCTTCGCACTGGCAATCCTTCTCAGTAGTACTTTTGTATACAACACCATGAACAAAATTGACCAGGGAGCTATCGACCTACTGCAGTATCCTTTTGTGGTCCAGGACAGCACTGCATTGGAGAAAGCACCCCACCCATGCACCTTTGAGACCTTTTGGGCTCATAACAACTAAAATACAGGGGCTAAGGAGATGGCTCAATCAGTGAAATATTTGTCACACAAGAATGAGGACATGAGTTTGGATCCATAACATCCACATAAAAAGCCAGACATGGCAGTGTGTACCTGTTACCCTAAGACTGAGTGTGGGTGTGGGAAGTCCAAGACAGGGGACTTGAAAGACAGCTGTAGAGCCAATCAGGTAGCTCCAGATTCAAAACACAAGCTGGAGAGAACTAGAAGAGGACCAACATCTGGCCCTCAACAGATATGTACATCTGTACACACAGAAGTGCAAACACAAACACATATACATGTGTATCACACACACACACATACACACACACACACACACACACACACACACACACACAAGAATTTTTCTTTTAGGCCACCAATCAGCTCCCAAATCATGACATGGAGACTTATTAGTTTTGTACACTCAGCCTACCTTAGGCACATTTCTGGCTAGCTCTTTTAACTTAAATTAACTTGTTTCTCTTTATCTTTTGCTTCAGGGCTTTTTACCTTTATTACTTCTGTATATCTTACTTTAACTGCTTCTTGTGGCTGGTGTCTGTGGGCCTTCTTGCCCTGGGCATGTCCCTCATTCTCTCTTCCTTCTTCTCTCTCATTATTCCGTTCTTCTTTCTAGATTTCTCCTTCTATTTATTTTCTCTCTCTGGCAGCCCCGCCCATCCCTCTCCTGCCTAGCTATTGGCTGTTTAGCTTTTTATTGACCCAATCAGGTGCCTTAGACAGGCAAGGTGAAACAGATGCAACACATCTTGACATAATTAAACAAACACAGCATAAACAAAAGTAACACACCTTTTACACAGTTAAAGCAATATTCCACAGCATTAATAAATGCAACACACCTTTACATAGTTAAAATAATATTCTACAACACACACATTAAAATATGATACAGAGTAGAAACACAAGGAAATGAGCCCTCATGTATGTCACCACACAGTGTTAATTTAATGAGGTGCAGAAGGGAAAGGAAGAGATTTAAAGAAGCATTAGATTCAGCCCTGCTTCTGCCAGTTTTCCTCAATTGTGTCTCAACAATGTGACAGAATTAACAGATCTGCTCCAGACAAGGAACTCCACCGACCTTAATGAAATTAAAGAACCTGCTGACATGAGCTTCTTTCCAGACTTGGTGTGGACTCTGAGAGATTTCTTCCTGAGTCTGGAAACAAACGGGCATGCCATCACACCAGATGAATATCTGGAGCACTCACTGAAGCTGAAACAAGGTAGCAGAGTTTCAGTTTGGGACAAAAGAAAGAAAAGTACACAGGAACTTATTTTCTTATAGGCATCTAAGTATATAATTTACTGTATTTACCCACCAAGCACTTCTACAAAATAACAACGAGTCTTTAGAGTATTTAATTTAGAATGAACTAGTAGATTCAATATTAAATTCTATTAGTCTTCAGTTATTGAACCAATTTCTCTTCTTTTTTGTTTTCCTCCACTAGTTATTTTTTAATCTTTATGCTTAATTCAACATCAGGGTTAAGGACATTTATTTAAATTAAATAGATTAAAGTGGATATACATTTTATGCTAGATAAATCTTGTATTTCCTTCTCCAGGTAGTGATGAAAGAACTGAAAAGTTCAATGTCCCCAGACTGTGCATTCAGAAGTTCTTTCCAGTGAAGAAATGCTTTATTTTTGACTCCCCTGCTGACAGAAATAAGCTCTCCAAGCTCCAAACACTCAACAGTGATGAGCTGAGTACAGAATTTGTGCAGGAGCTGTCAGAATTCTGTTCTCACGTCTTCACCCATTCCAAGACCAAGACTCTCCCAGGAGGCATCCAGGTCAATGGACCTCGTAAGTACTTTTTAAAAGGATTTTATTCCAACTCATCATAAAGAATCAAGGACACAGAGCCTTTTTGTTGATAAATCGACAAATGGGTCAGTTGTTGCCAGGATGGAAATCCAGTGTGCCACGTTGACAAAGTTACAGCAGATACCAAGCACGCCTCTAGTGTTGTTTTAGTAAATTCTCAAAGTTACATAAAAACAAAAAAATCATAAGGATGAAGATATCAAGTTAGAGGAGTTTTACCCATTTACTCTTAAAATAGATTAACTGGTGTGGGTTGACAATATTTCCATAATACATATTAATTATATTTTTTATTACATGACACAGTATTTGATATGCACAAGATAAGATGAATAAACACATACAAGTTCCTGTAGAAACAGAATTTTTCTGTCGAAAAATTCTTCAGATTTGACTATAATCCCATATTGTTTAGGATTTTAAAAGATGCCTATACAAGCTCTTTAATGCAGGTTATCTTAACCCCATGTTTTAGAACTTGCACATATTATGAAAGGAATTTGTATTACTTACATGTAGAAACTGGCAAGGAAGACAGATAAAGGGATTTTGATAAAGAATAAGGTCTAGATTGTTGGATTCTATTTACAGAGGAAAGTAACTCATACCACCTTAACCATGATGAAATAAAACAAAAAGGAAAAATATTTGAATGAAATAGAAAACTGAGAAAGAAAAAGTATTGCAAGCTTAAAGAAACAAAGGTCTAAAACATTTTAATCAGATGAATACCCATGACTTTTTAATGATCACCTTGTTTCTCCAAGAAGGATAAAATGCAGGTCATTACATATATCTTGAAAATTCCTCTATTTTCTTCTTTCAGCTTAACTTTCTTCTTTCAAAAAGCTAACTCAATTAGGTTTTTGTTGCTGTTTTCATGTTTTCCCTCAAAGAACTACTTGTCTTCTTCATCTCATAGTAATTCAAAAGAACTTTTCTGGCCCACTTGAATACTATGAAGATGCTGAAAAATACAGGCAATACATAGTTACCATTTTCAGAATAATTCCATATAGATCTTAGCCTCCTTTTCTACAAAGGAGACAAACATCTCTCCTTCTGTGAAGGTCTAGAGAGCCTGGTGGTGACCTACGTCGATGCCATCAACAGTGGGGCTCTACCCTGCATGGAGAATGCAGTGATAACGTTGGCTCGGAGAGAGAACTCAGCTGCAATGCAAAAGGCTGTCACCCACTATGATCAGCAGATGAGCCAGAAGGTGCAGCTGCCCACAGAGACCCTCCAGCAGCTGCTGGAACTGCACAGGACCTGTGAGAGTGAAGCCATGGAAATCTTCAGGAAGCATTCTTTCAAGGATGAGGACCAATGCTTCCAGAAGGAATTGAAGGTCATTATTTTCTGTATTTGTTTGTAGGCATCAGGTTCAACAGAAGGCAAGGATACTCTACAACTGGTAAAATAGGATTAATTAAAAAAATCATTTCCCACTACATTGGAAAGTGATGAGAGTCATTTATGTGGTGTTAATGTGGAAAACAGGAAAGCCTGAAAAGAATCTGGCTTCAAGGATCTTGACATTTTCACACACACACACACACACACCTCACATGTTCTATGTTATAGTCATGAAAAAAACTTGAATTTCTTTTACCGTACACAAAATTATCTTTAACAATGTATTTACTTTTTGTTGGTCAAGTATATAGAATTGACTTCGAATCTATTAAGATGTGATGAATGTAGGAATAATAGAATAAGCAGATAGTGCAGCCAGTGATTCAATTTCACAACCTGGATATAGAAAAACTCTGAAGAAAATGTTAAACAGTTGGTTGCGTTTAAAATTATGGTTCATGTTAGAGCTCTGCAATGATAAAATCACATCTAAGGTGGAAATAGCATCTTGAGAAGAGTTTCAAGTACCCTCAATTAAATTCAGTGGGACACACACACACACACACACACACACACACACACACACACACACACACGAGAGTGACTTCTTGGGAATAGAAGGGTTTCAGTTGATGGAGGAGAAAAGATGAGATTAAATAGTGGGGTTAACATGAATAAACCTCATAAATGCACAAATGTAGAAAAATATCAAGATATGATGGGTAGATAAAAATACAAACTTGCTGGGCAGTGGTGGCACATGCCTTTAATCCCAGCACTCAGGATTCAGGCATATTTCTGTGATTCAAGGCCAGCCTGGTCTGTAGAACTAGTTCCAGGACATTCAGGGCTGTGCACAGTAATCCTGTCTCAAAACAAAACAAAATGAAACAAAAAAAGAGAGTATTCTACTCACAGAAGTTATTTTTCACTGTTCCTTAAGAAACAACTTAATAAATCTGCTGTTAAAAAGGAAGACATTTGTAACTGCCAAATAAACATAACTTTTCATAGAGTATCATCTTTGCAAGCTTTTCAGCTTTGATAAGGATATAACTTTACATACATTTCTCTGAGTTTCTAAGAAAATAAAATGCAGATTTCTTTTGAGGAACAGTTCCTAGAAACATGGAAGTGTACCTAACTTCTCCATGTTTTTTTTTTCCTTTAAAGACCTTACTAAGTACAAAGCAGAATTAGATTTGTAAGAACATTTTGAAAAACAATTCCCAGTAACACTGAAGTATTCCTAACACTTCCATGGTTTTTTTTACCCCCGTTTAAAGACCCTACTAAGTGCAAAGTGGGATGAGATCTGTAAGAAGAATGTGGAAGCCTCTGAAAACCACTGTTCAACCCTACTTCAGAATATTTTTAAGCCTCTGGAACAAGAAGTGGCACAGGGGGTCTATGCTACACCAGGAGGCCACAATCTCTTTCTTCAGAAGATGGAAAAGCTGAAGGCCCAGTACCATCAGCAGCCAAGGAAGGGAACACAGGTATCCTTCATTCCTCGTACAGGTACCGTGATGTGCTCTTCTTCAGCCACAGATGTAGTTTTGAAAGCAAACCATCACTGTCATCACTAGACTTTGGTTGTAGCCATCAGAGTTTATGAACATCAAAGGGGCTGATTAGAGTTACACAAGACAGAATCTCAGTAAGTGAAGCCAGTTTAGGGAAAACTAATAATTGGCTGGTTTGAAAGGTTTTTGTTTCAAGTATAGATGCATACCAGAGTTCAAATGATGTCATCTATTTTCCTTCTTTTTATTTCTTTCCAAACCTTCCTTCATTTTCCATACTGTCGGCTTCATTTTCAAGCAGCCACCCCCACCCAACATGCAAATACACACACACACACACACACACACACACACACACACACACACACACAAGCCTCTGACATGGCCCTAGTTTAGCTTGACTTTAGAGACTTTAGAGATCTCAGAAGAGGGCAAGCATATCTATTCCAGCACCCATATTAGTTTTTTAAACACCCAATTTTCAGTGTTTATCCACATGTAAATAAGATGGTTAGGTGTAGCATCCCTGGGTGCTCTGATTGGCCATGCCAGCATCATTCTCATGGGTGAAGATTGATGAACAGACCTTTCATGTGCAGGGTGAGCATCCCCTAGTAGGGAAAGGTAGTTGGAGAAGAAATAAAGACATTTTCCAGGTTGCAAATTAGCATTTCCTAATTGTAACGGCATGTTTTGGGGTTCCCAGGCTGAGGAAGTGCTGCAGAAATATTTGAAGGCCAAAGAACAACTGAGCAAAACAATTCTACAAACAGACAAGGCTCTCACAGCCAAGGAGAATGAGAGGAAAGGTGAGAAGGGAGTGGAGGCAATGGACGATGTACAAGAAGTTCATTAACACGGCCTTCCTTCCTGTGCAAGGAGAGGGCACTGTACTCAGCCTAGAGACTTGTGACTTTCCTTTCTCCGCAGCGGAAGGAAGCGAGAGCAAGCGCTGCAAGGGCTGAAGCACAGAGGTTGAAGGCGATTCGAATCCAGGAAGAGCAAAGGAGAGCAGAGCAGGAGAGACAGCATCAAGAGGAACTGAGGCAAATAGAGATTTCCAAAGCAAACTTCCGGGCAGAGCAAGAGAGGATCAGGAACCAGAGGATGCAGGTACTTGTGAACTGTTTTCTATCAGATGTTACTCAGCTGCCCAATCTCCCATCTGTTAAGGCGACAGTATGATGGCCCACGGGGAAAGGCAGTCTCACCAGGTAGCTCAGGGCAGAGACGCTGAAGCCAGACTGCTGGATCTCAACCACAAGCATCACCTTTTACCAAATGCATGTCTATGCACATTGTCTCTCCTCTCTGTACTTTAGTGGGGCGTAGATGCAGGAACAACACGTAATTTACCAGGTTACAATAAACGCTTTAATGTTTATGTTTAGAACAATGTTTGGCACAGAGTATGCATAATCACTTATTAAATAAGATCGAAGGAATTTCTTGATTAACTACCTCTTCTGTTTGTCACTTGCTTTGGACAATCAATCATGTATCTTGTTTGTGGCTTTTTTTTTTTTTTTTTTACATTCCTGTCTTGCCTCGATCATTTCTCGTTCTGTTGTTCTTTAACTTGCAGTTTTACTTTAGTTTTATCAGCACTCAAGAAACAGTAGTCATTATTTAGCACATAGGAATCCCTCTGTATGCATTCTATGATCTAATAGTTCTGCCACTGAAGCAGAACTATTTTGTTCCTGGCTTCCAGGTGAATGAAGTGAATTTCCATAAAAATAACCCACATACTGGCAGCACACAGGCTTGTAAATAGGATCTCAAGCATTGCTGCTTCTGAAGAGCTGATGTGACATTCCTGTCCCCTACACATAAACTGTCCTTACCCCCCCCACCCCCCACGACGGACCAGTATATTTACAAGTAGTAACTTTATCAGGAGCTACTCAAACATATTTCTAATCCCAGTGCTTTCCTGGAAGGCAGAGTGGACAATCATTCCTGTCATCGAAAGTGTGGCAACCTGGACCCTGCTCTTTAACCAGGATTCAGGTGGCTGCATTTGACCCTCTGGATGGCATGGCGTCACTCTGTGTGCAGCCTCTTCTTGTAGAAAAATATCTGACAATATACAGTGTGCAAGTGAGAATTGCAGTAATATGTGACTGAGATTGATTGCCAAGGAATTTTTTTTTTTTAGGTCCACGTTGGGGTGGAATTCTAAGACTAACATTTCAGAGACTGAAACGTGCTGTGTCTGGAATGAGAGCCAAAGGGTGGAAAGTGATAGAAGTGGGCTGCACACTATGGATGAAGGGTTGTTCAGGGATTGTCTGTTGCTACCATAGAGCAAGAAGAATGCACAAGCCAACCGGTTTAGGAATGAGAAAAGAGTTTGATATTATTTATTTTTGCTAAGCTTTCTCATTTCTTTTTATTTCTCCTCAGCAAGAGGCTGCGAGGATCAAAGCAGAACAAGAAGCTAAACTCAGAGAACTCAATCAACAGCTTGAAGCTGCAAGGGCAATGAGCCGTCACTCATCAGGCGGTGATTGTATCTTACTCTAAAGCACCAAAAGCCAGGGCTTCCCTTTCTTACTGCTCCTCATTGAAGACACAAAGGAGCAAGTGACTAAAGGACTTGAGGCAACCACTGGTTATAAAACAAAACAAAACAAAACAAAAAAACACACAACAGCCCAGTGCCCCCGGCTCTAACTGCCATATTTGTCTCAAGGTATTTTACCTAGGGGATGTTAACTTGACTAACATCTTGGACTCACACGTGTGTCCCTCCTGCTGGTAGACACAGAAAGAAAGTACTAATGAAAAATAAATAAAAAAAAAAACAATACATATTTCTCGACTGGATGGAGGCCCCTAGTCTATGGGCAGTGTGGCTCCTCAGTACTGTTGGCTGACCATTTGTATGTTTTCTTTCCTCTGTGTTTCTTCTTTGGGAGCCCAATGACATTATAATTAACCTTGTCACATGCTCAGCTATCATGTCGCTCACTGAGAGGTAGATTTGTTTCTACTGATTGTCTTCTCTGCCAGGTTCACATTCTTTTGATATGTTCATTACAGAAATTCTTCTTCACCAATACAGGGTTTTTGATACACAGAATTGCCAACTGGCTCTGTTTCTATTTTTCTTCCTGAAAGTCTACACCTGCCCATGCATATTGCTCACTTTCTACCAGATTCTTAAACAGTAATCATACTGATCTTAAATGATTTTAGTGATTTAAGATTCAAAAATTTTAAATGATTTCTGATATTCCAAGTCTATCTCTATTCATGAGTCTATTTACTTTATCTGTTTAAAATAAATAACTGTACTTGGTTTTTCTGTGTGTCAAAAAATTCTTTTAATTGAATGCTGTGCACTGTTGGTTACATAGTTAAGACATAGCTTTATGCTTGGAATATGCATTCCTCTTTCATATTAAGATTCTGGCAAGCATTGGCTCAATGTAGTTGTTCAGATGGAAATAGCCTTAGTTTGTTATAGTGGAATAGCTCTTGCCTATATCCACTAAGAAGATTACAGAGAAAGAGGGAGGGAGAGAGAGAGAGAGAGAGAGAGAGAGAGAGAGAGAGAGAGAGAGAGAGAGAGAGAGAGAATTATTTGCATATGTAAATCTCATTCTGTTGCTCAATAAAATGGAAAGTAAATGTAAAATGCCCTAAATTGATTCTTTTGTATGCCTCAACTTTATATACTACATTTTTTTCTCACACTGAAATTCACATTAATAGGTCAGAGGCATCCTAGCAGAAACAAGAAATGAAACTGAGATAAAATGTAGCATTTTCAGCATTTACAAATACGATTGGTTAGGATTTTTTCTCATTTTAAGTAAATATTTACCTTTGAGCTTGAATGGTTACTATTTCCTTTAGAGTAGGAGGAACTCAAGTTAGCTCCATGACATTATAGTACAGATAGACACTCAGAATAAGCAGAGGAAACAATCTGCAAGAACATTCAACAAAATAAGAGTTTTTTTTAACTTCTGGTTGATAGCAGTTGGGATTTTTATATACAAAATCTATCTATCTATCTATCTATCTATCTATCATCTATCTGCCATCTATCCTAGCTTGATGAAAGAACTAAATTATATTAATAACACCAGTACTTTTTAAGGAATGGTAAGGGTGGAAAGAAAAGAGAAGAACATAAATTATGAATCTCACACTGGCTGTTGGGTGAAAACATGGGGAACCAGCTTAAGTGACCAAATGATAGCATGTGGTTGGATATTGCATGTCATGCCCATGATTCAGACTCTCTATTTGGTTCCTGCATACCCCAAATCTCAGGACACACAGATCCTCTTTAGGCACTCACCAGGGACTGTAGCAAAGAACAGAAGTGTGCAACCTATTATTTTCTACCTAAAGTGGGCTTACAGAGTGAGAGACCAAGCCCTAGGCCCTCTGCTGAGATACTGCTGTGCAGTGGTTTCCCTATTACCTTCAATCTCGGATGCTTCTGGATATTTCTGTTGGGATTAGCAAAAATAAAAAAAAATGCTCATGTCATAGGTGGCTTAGCTGCCAGAATTCATACTTTGTAAGTTTTTTTAATATAGTCATACTTAATATTCCATAGATTCCACAATGATATGGAATATTCCAATCCCTTTGGATTGAGTATCTGTGAAAAACGGCTTTCAGGTTTGCTCTTATTTCTTTATCTTGTACTTTTAAAAAAGGTGTATGACTCAAGCATGTATTAACAAAATATACTAGAATTAATCTTATTTTAGCTAATTTGTAGTTAAAAGCTCTTAGGTTTCATTGTCTCAGCTCTCCTTTGCAGTAAGAACAAAATTGAAAAGCAAATAAATTAAACAACAAACTCCTCACACCTTATAACTTTGTATGTATTTCATATATTCCTTCCTTTAAAACTCAGGCATATACATCTGCAACATAACATCTACACCTAGAGCTCAGAAAAAATTGTGAAAGAAGGGCAGAAATGTTGTAAGATGCAGAGGGCCAGGACCCCTGCTGCCAGATGGTGTCTTCTAGACAGAACATGGAAAATGCATCCAAGAAACCACAACAATATTCAACAATATTGTTACCTGAATAAGATCAGTATAATGGCAACACCAGATTTGATGCTAACATGGACAGGGGAGATTCTATGTGATTTTACTTCTAGATGAAGAGCTACAGAAAGTCAATGACTGATTTTAGGGAGAATCAATTTCTCCCCAGGAAGAACTCCCACATAAATTGTCAAATCCCAAGTGGTCAATAATCTTGGACACATGTACATATGAGCAATGCTAAATGGACTCAGTAGATGCACATACATCTCCTATATATTGTATGTTATGTTAATAAACATGTCAATCAACATCCATTTTGCTTACTGCTGAATTCTAAGCACAGAGAACCAAGATTTGTTCCTCCTCAACTAAGATGGTATTGGATCTTATCATCAAATTTACAGCCTCACTCCTATCTGTCAACAGTCTTTTGGGTTCCCAAGTTTCATAGCACTCTTTCCCTTATCTAAATTACTTTTTATTTTATGTAATCCTATACTCTTCTAATTATTCCAGAGATTATTATATTAGTTACATTTATGTTTGCATGTTTGTCTCTGAAAAAGTCATATTCTTGACCTATGAAAATATTTATCTGTATAATGAATACAGTGTCTAGCTTTTATAAATAGTTACTGACAGCTGAATTTAGTTGAGTAACTTGTATGCCCTCAATGTAACCACAGTTAACAAATTTTGTATGGAAATACTTTTAATTCTGTACCTATTATATTCTAATGGATAGTACTAAACATTTTACTCACACTGAAAAAAATGTCATTTTCTCCCCTACATACATAAAAGTATTGGTACTAATATACAGATTTAGATTTGAAATTTTTGCTTGTCTTCAAACTTTTGTGATTTGTTTACTATTGAATGAGATAAGGCCCAGCTTAAATAGTTAATAAATGTATAAGAAATGAAGAATGTACTCTTTAGTCCCTTGCCCATATGTGCCTTAGAGTAACCTTAAGAATGACTAATGGATCTTTGTCCTTGCTGTGCTTCTGGGCAATATTTGTCTACAGCATCATGAGCATCATATGCCTCCAGGCCCTGTAGCAGCTGCAGGATCCTTTCAGGGACCAAGGTATCATGGTTGATTCAACTTCAAGAAATGACAGCTGCAACTTTCTGCTTTATTGTAACTTAATTGTTAAGGCAAAGGAGACAGTAGACAAACGTAGTTTAAAGTCTGGCTTGTAAATATATAATATAGGTATTTATGTGTGACCCATCTATGTAATTGAACCAGAGCTAACAGAGTCCAAAGCCTCTTTGATTTGTAATGAGAGAGAGAGAAAGAAAGAGAGAGGGGGGTGGGAGGGCTCAGATGTGTTTGCATGTTTCCTTCCAGATCTTGTTTGATCTAATCAGGATTCCATTCTGTGTGTGGAAACAGAGAAATGGTCCATCTGTAAAAAGATAGAACCTTGAGAAGATCTTGAACTGATCCCAGGTATCAGTGCAAGGCCTGGGAAGGGAAAGGCTCCGAATAAGGCAGGATTGTCTAAGCTCCATCGTTTTTTTCATTGACGTCAAGATTTGAGAGTGATTGAAGCCCATGATACTGGTGACTGGTGGTTGGTTCCTGTGGATTGTTATTATTGAAAGATTCTAGTGTTTGTAGTTTCACATAATCTAGGAAATGTATGACTCTACATTGGAATAAGTCATGCTAATACAATTAGTACCGAAATGAGCATGTGTAGAGAGCTTTCAATGTCATAATTTCCCTAGGCTTACAAAGTCATGCTCTTTGTTGTGTGTTCGGACATGTCTTCGCTAGTAAACATAGCTCATCAGACTGGAAGTTTCTATAAATACAAAATCAAAATGAAATCAAATGATACTTAAATTATTTCATGTAATAATATATTTAACTACTGGATGAACTATCTCATATTTCAAACAAATGAAATTTAGATAGCAAGTGATGAGAAAAATCATAGATATAGCTTTTTAGTAAAACTATTAAATCCTTCTTTATATTTCTTAATATGATCATCTTCATTCTCTAGCCTTATGTAAAGTTTTTTAACTATTATAAGACTAACGTATTATTTACTAATATAGATTACTGATGGCATCTAGAGAGGATATCTACTTCATTTATTCATTCCTTTAGCCATTATTTGAATAAGTGTGTATTTGAACATAGGATATATATCACAGAGACAACTAGTAGGGTTTGAACATGTCTGATAAATGTGCTATGGGGTGGTGAAAAAAATACCCAAGTTTCTAGGTTAATTTAAAGGAAGTGGGAGGAGATGCTTATGGCAGTATTTGCTTATATTTAGAATCTACTTCTATGTTGACCTCAACAACCTCTGTTTTCATCCTGACATCTTTTTGCTTTTAAAATACTGTACTTTTTCTCACATTATTTTACTTTTGTCTCCTTTTCATTCCTGACACTGCAATAATAGTCAGATGTAGTTCTGAGATTTTAAAATATTTTATTCATTAACCACTCAACAAATATTTAACAAGAACTCAGGGGCAGACACAACTCAATGGCTGAGCAGAGTAGATAATAAACAACCGGCAGAATCAATAATAAATTTCGTCATATGCTCTAGCAATGCAAACCACAGCGTGTAGTGATCCACATTGCTGGGACATCTGTCAGGTCTGGCTGACCTGAGAGGGTGCATGTAGAGTGAGGAAAGAAATACACAAGGGGCGAGAGATAGAATCGGGAGGGCACCTGACAAATACCAAGATCAGCCCCAAGTTTATTACTGAAAGTTTTTATATACTCCAACCAAAAAGTGGGGAAGGCAAAAGACTTCCTTACCAAGGTATAAAGAACAAGCAAGCATAATTACCTTCTCAATACCTAAAACTTCAAGTAACTGCTTCCTAAACCAAATATCCTGTTGTCAAGGCAAGACACAGTAGCCACACCTTAGCCCAAACATTCTGTTGTTTCACCTTGGGAGAGCAATAGTGGGTTTGAACTCTCTGGCCTTAAGTCAAGATGAAGCAGAGCCATTTCTGTGGGAAAGGTCTGAAGAGTTTTCTCAGAGGGAGACAGAGGTATTGAGATGAAGGAACAATGCATGTGCAAAGGGCTAAAGGATAGACAAGCAACCAGACAGAGGAAAATTAATGTATAGATATATATAAAAAAGATCAGTTAGGTGCTTGTAGAACTGAGCAGCAATCTGGTTGTCTGGAACCTGGTGTGAGCTATAAATATGTCATTGGGGCAGGAAGAGTTCTAAGGGGCTGAGAGGAAAGCTACTGTGGGGAGTACTCATGTCTCACAATTATTTGGACTTTAGTTCCTCCATGGCCAGAAAGAAAATACAAGGTATTTCAAGAAAGGATGTGAACTTTACTGGTTCCAGGGTATGACTGTATAGAACAATGGTATATTCAGAAAGAGGCTGAAACCATGCCTGCTGTTTCTTGAGCTTCCTTGGGCAATAGTGTTGCTCTGAAAATTCCTGGACAGTAAGTCAGAGGTGTGAAAATCCATCCTTTAGTTAGCACTTTCACTGATGAATACAAGCTACACAAGGCAATGGGCAGAGCTCTCTTCTTAGAAAGCTGGATAGGAAGAATTTCCTATAGCTAAAGGTATTTCTCTCTTTCCACGCAATGCACACTCTGTTGAATCTGAAAACAAGCGTAGCTGTGGTTGGATGTCAGCTGAGCAGAGTCTTTCCCACCACATTGCAGAATCAGCTCTTGATGGCTCTGGAGAAAATAGCCCAGGCAGTTGGGTGTCTTCTGTCTCCACTGCCTCTGCTTAGCACCAAGTGAGCTATGAAGCAGACACTGAAAGAAACTGCAAAGAACAAAGAGAAGTAGTAGTAAGCAGTGGGCACTAAAGGGGGAAGCTTTAAGGTAAGTATTGACCAAACGAAGGAGGAAATAGAGAGGGAAAGAGAAAACCAGCCGAGAGCAGGAGAGGATGCTGGAACACACATGGCTCATTAAAGTCTCAGATCCACCTGCTGAAGTCCTTGAATTCACTTTATTATAGTACTTCCCACATGCTGGGTCATTATTTTCTGGTGATTTCAGGACAATCTCATCACGCTCCAATTGAAAAGGGTCTTAGTCCTACATTCCTGTAGTTTTTACCATCTTGCTACGTCGATCAAGTCAATAGAACCATTTGAACTTGATTTTCTGGTGATTTCAGGACAATCTCATCACGCTCCAATTGAAAAGGGTATTATTAGTCCTACATTCCTGTAGGACTGCTTCCTACTTCCTACATCGATCAAGTCAATAGAACCATTTGAACTTGAAAAAAAAAATCACAAAAATAGCTTTTTAAATGAAAACTATGAAACTTGTATTTTTTTCCTAGGATTTGCCCAGTTCATCGTGTCTTCCAGTCAACAAAATGAATTCATGTTCTAGCCTTGAGTCTGACAACCAGTATTCAACAGAATTCACAGTTTCCATGAATTGGTGGGCTAAGTTTATGTCAATTAACTAACAGATGGGAATCAAACCTACATTCCCTACTGAAGGGTAACCTTAAGATATATGAAGAGATGAGATTTTCAGGCCTGTTCTAGCCCTTTGTTGGCCTTAGCTCAGTAAGATGACTCTTAGGGGATCCTAGGGGAGCATCAAGCATGGTCACTTGACTATTCTGGTTTAAATATACGTGCTCCTTAACCAAACACGAGGTTACATCTCAACCACAAAATCACCCTAAAATGAAATGCACCAAGATGCTTAACCAACAAAGATTTCAGCTCTGTTTGTTGTGTATTAGCAGGCATCTGGGCAACTAAATCAAAGCTCACTTAATTTTTTCAAAACATCTCTTGTAATCGCTTTGTTTTTGCCTTTAAGAAGCTCCTGGTGGTAACGTTCTCACGTGCTGCTTGCTGCACAGCGAGGCGAATAATGATAACAACACAATACATATCTTAAAAAGGAATGTTAGCTGCTTGAAGAGGTAACTATGTTAACTCAATCTACACCATACATCATGTGATGTATACAGCCTGTATACATGCGTGGAAACATTCATTGCCCTGCTAATGTGTACAGTATTAATACCTCATATGGGCTGAAAATTTTTAAGTTAAGAAATTTCCATTTGCATCAAGTTCTTTGAATAAGCTGTAGCTCACTGTGGCAGGAGCTGGCATATCCTTGTTGCAACACTGTTATTTCCCAATAAAAGTCAGCAAATTTTTTTTTTTTTTTGTTGTCGTCTGATCATCTGTCAAGGAACTATGGAAGATTCCGTCTTCTTTCCTGGAAACGGTGCAAAACTCAGAAGGCAAGCATAAGCCAATGTAGTTTCAATTTCAGTTCTCTATCCCCA